AGGAGGAGAGCTAGTAACGTTAGCAGCACCGCTAACGGCTAACCAACGGAGGTTCACTTCAGTTACATTATGATGCCTTCAGGCTCTGCTCAGTGAACATGAGTACTGGCTGAAGGTACATTATACCGTTATCATGATGTGTTCACATGTCATCTGTAAAATGTAGTTTTGGTGATAAACTTGAATAAATCCAGTAGTTTGAAGATGTTTTCACGTTAATATAAAATAGATATTAGAGATGAATTATGAGCTGTTTAACTTCTAACACGAGATATAAACACATTATTATACAGCATTAAATATAATAATGAAGAGATTAGTTTAAATCAATAAAAATACAATTTTTATTGATTATTTGAATGATGTGTTTTTATGAAGAACCATAGTGGTTCAGTCACTAAAACAGCAAAAGCAAATAGTTTATTTTCACCAATGAAGAGACACATAACTGGTTTGCTTCCTGTGAGTGATTTGATTGGTGTTCACACCACAGAGACAGCAGTTTGAGTCCAGTTCAACCAGACTAAACGTGGCAGGTGTGAACCTCCAGCACGGCAGGTATTTAAACCTGTATTTAAACCTTGTTTAATTAAATCAAGCCAGTTTTGATTAGTTAATCTACATCAGAAGGCAGACGGGCCAACGTGGGCTCAGTAGGTTCTCTGATTATCCCCGGCCTGGTCTCAGCTGGGGGGTTGAGGTGACCGCAGCGGGCGTGGGAGGGGCTTAACGACAGCACACGGTGAGATTACTCTCCTTACATCAGCGGGCGGGGAAAGATCTCAAATGTTAATCTTAAACCGACACGACAGGAGATCCCCAGATATCCATGTAGCGCCGAGGCGATGTGAGGCCTTCAACTAGCTTAGGAAGCCTGGACACACGTCTGGTTTAACTGTGCATGAGCAAGGTGTGAGATGTTTACAGGTTACCTTGGTGGTAGATGTAGGTTTGGTGTGTGTGTGTGCGTGTGTGTAGGGGGGGTCATATATTTCCTATTAAATGCAGCCGAGGCAGGAGAGCAGCTCTGACATGATGAGTAATGGTTTAATCAGGAGCCGTGTGTCGGTCTTATTTCCTGCACCGCCGCCACAACATTAAAGCTTTGCTCCTGAGGGACACGGGCTGTCAGTCATGTGATATTAGTTTCCAGGTGTGTTAGTACAGACAGAGTTTATTGAAACTCTTGTTTGGACATTGTTGTTTTTAAAATAAGAAGGTATCAGTGTGGACGTATCCTCGTGAACATTTCCTCTCTTCCCGCCTCATTTAAAGCCGTATTTATGTCATCTGCTCGAAGGACGCGTTTACTCACAGCTTCCAAATTTGAGGGGACAAGCGTGGGCGTCCATGGGGAAGTCCTCCAGCTGCATGGGACACTCTGCTGAGATCGTCAGTCTGGAGGAAAGAAGTCATGAGACATCATCACTTGTTTCATTTAGGTTGTGTTTAACCAATGAGAACCCTGCTCTGTCTTCATTGGCTGCCAGCTGTCTGTGGAGCTGAAACAGAGCAGCAATGAAGCAAACCTGAGTCTAATGTCTGAACTCTGCAGAGTGAAGCTCTGTGTGATGTGATGCTGCCCTCTGCTGGCCACACAGATCATCAGCATGAGTCTAAAGACACAGTGGTGATAAACAGTCTACATACCATAATACTAATACACAAGGTACCAGACTATTCACATTCACACACCGTAGGCACATACGGGAGCAATTTTGGGCAAGTGTCTTGCTCAAGGACACATCGACATGCGAACTGACGGTGAAGTTCAGCAAAAGAAGGAAAGGAAGAAGGAGATGGTGAAGAAGAGGATGAAGATGAGTGTCCTCCACTACACACAGGTTTTCTAAAGGAGGATTCACCCAGTTGTGTCTCAACCAGGACCTTTGTGGAGTTCTTCTTCAGACTCTCTCCCAGATCATCACCTGTCTTGAAGAAGAGTTGATAGCTGGCTGTGAAGAGAGCTAAAAAAAAACACTCAGCTTTGGGCCCATATTGACGAGCCGTACTTTAACGTAGAAAAATCATTCAAAGTTTAAAACGTAGACAAAACTCTGCACTTTATTGAGCCAAAGGGACATTTTGATAGCTAGCACAGTTTTCATGAAGTCACAGATTAAGTTTCAGGAACATTTTGGGTCTGTTTCAGATTTTATAATGGGTGTGTATTGTGTACACGGCTCGTTAAGAGCTAGAGTGATGACATCACGCTCAGAGTGGAGCGGAGCAGGAAAATATTCTGTGATTTTTCCAAACAAATTGCTCCAGCTCCCACAATGTTTACTCTTTATTCACCATTTTGGCCAAAAAGCTTGGAAATGTTGTGCTGGTCGCAGTAAAGTATCTGTGGAATCCAACGGACTTACACATTTGGCTCAAAGAGCCGCAGAGCAACATGAACTCCAACCAACTGCTCCATTAGACTCCATGTTAAATCTCACCACTCATTTCTCAAAGACAGCAGACGGTACCAGTTTTGCATATTGCTCTGGAGCTCACATTATTAACACCACAAACATAAAAAACACATCAGCGCGTTCGGCAGAGTCTTATCTCTCTCATGGTATCCATATGTTGTTGATTGGACTCATGGTTTTGGTACGGAGTGCATGTGTGCACAGACCAGATACAGACCAGTGAGGAGCGAGCTCCACATCTCTAAGTGCCCTCAGGGTCACATTTTAACAACTATGTTAAATGCCACAGACACATAAACACAATTAAAATAGCAGATATGAAGGTACCTGTTGTGACTTCTGTGTGAATCGGGTTATTCGGCTCAATTGGTTAGTCTTTGTGCTACTGGGTTAGCTGTTGTGCGACTGGGTTAGCCGTTGTGCTACTGGGTTAGCCGTTGTGCGACTGGGTTAGCCGTTGTGCTACTGGGTTAGCCTTTGTGCTACTGGGTTAGCCTTTGTGCTAATGTTAATTGGTTAGCCTTTGTGCTCCTGGGTTAGCCTTTGTGCTACTTGAGCTAAAAACGGCCCTCAAAACGCAGTCTAAGAGCTACTATCATTCCTAGTACTTGCATTGTGGACACAATAAAAATAGGGGTTCTTAAAACTGTGAAAAAGCCAATTTATATGAATATTATATTCCATTTCTGCTAAAAAAGATCCTGAAATGCTTCACACTGGCCCTTTAATATGACTTTACACCTGTCCATAGCAGCTGTAACACATCATTTAAATCAGGTCTACCACATGTGAAGTGTTGGAGATGAATAGACGATATTCCTGTAGTATCGTTATTGGTGGAGGATCACGATGAAAGGCGGAGGGCTTACCTCATGGTGTAGAGCAGCGTCCCGTCGTCTTTCAGCCGCAGCAGCTTGTTCGGTGTCGTCATGTTGTGAGCGATGGATTTCTTCCCGTTGAGGAAGAAGGTGTCCGGAGTCCAGATGTTACTGGCCAGGAGATTATTCAGAGGAAGCATCTCCATCGGGCCTTTGAAGCAAAGTCTTTCATCTTTCCAGCTCTGACGGAAGAACACGTCAATTGTGTATTCCTACAGGGCGAATCACAGTATCGGCACGTTAGAATTTAAACACACTTTAATCGATTAGCTCAGCTACGACAGACGTACTAGGGCCACTGTAGGTAAAACGAAAAGAAAAACAATAATGTAGTCAGGTGAAGGGGGTTATTATTCGAAGAAAATAACTAGAGATTACAGTTGTAAAGTAACGAGAAAAAGCTGTAAAATTTACAAGAAAAAAAACTAGGATATTCTTTGACATGAAAGTTGTAAATTTACAATAAAGATAAAAACTTTAGGAGGAAAAAAACTGGATATTCTCTAAATATTCTATATTTTTTTTTTGGAGGAACCACATCTCACCACAGTGTATTTTCCTGCAGTAGACGATCTAATCAAATGTACTTTGCAATCAGAATTAGCATTAAGGAAATACTGGTGATTTGTAGCCCAGAATAACCCTATTTTTACATTTACAAGTTACAAAGCTATTTGTGTCACAGAGCCTCATCCAATTATTAATTACAACATTCATTTTGTTAATGGTTATGAAAGATCAAGGTGCCAATCAGGTAGAATCAGCCATGATACAAATGCAGTGAATGTGGATGAAATTTAAAGCAGTGATGTGAGTTCTTGTTTTAATAAGTTCAGGTCAAACAAACAGCATTACGTCTGGATTTTAAATAAAATAATTACTTTAAGTTGAGAATACGACTTAATAAAAGGTGTTTCTTACCATTTCAGTGTCAGAGACCGGACCGAAGCTCGTGACAAAGATGTTGGTTTTGATCTCCGTCACCTTCTCTGTAAGAACAGATAGAATATGAATTATTATTAAGTCCTTACAATGCATCCATGTTTTGATTAGTGCATGCATTATTATTGAGATCTATTCTAAATACGAAGGCCTGGTGCAGGTTTCTGTTTTCTTTGACGTTACAGAAATTAATTAGGAATAAATCCCCTGACCTGAACTTGGTATAAGTTGTTGCAGGTTCAATAATTCATGATGCGAATGCATACTTTTACTGGAAAATGCAGGTTTACCAGAAATACGTTTTCATCAGCGTCCACATAGGGAGGACGTCGGGGTGGACGGACGGGTCCAGCACGTGACTTTCACCCAGGAGATCGAGCTGCTTGTGTCTCGTGTGAGTTATTTTAGATTATACAGGCTACGTAAGAAGCTACATGACAAACGTAATTCTTTGAACCCAAATCATGAGGTTTTCTTTTATAAACCTAACTACGTAGCTTTTGTAATCGAAACATAACGTTACATTGTTTAACAGACTGAAGAGGTCATTTTACTGTATTTCTGTGAGATCACGTTGGTCCAGTGACGTTGGTTCTGTTGACTTCCTACAGAAGGATTATCATTCCTTCCACTAGTAACAACAATGTGTGGACTTGTGCTGGTTTGAGAACTAAAACGCAGTGGCGGGCCGTGCATTTTATACCTGGGCCTTCACTGCTGTCCTGCAGCTGAAATACCACCTTATAACCACATGATGGCACCACAGCTATTATTCGTTTTTAAGGCTGTAACTATGTACGTCTTCATATTAAACCGTTCGGTACGAGTCTTACAATACATTTGAATGATGCTAGAGCATTTAGAAAATGTAGAAGCCTAAGTTCAGGAAAATATAATGTTTTCTGCGCTCATGTAGGACAGTGGTTCTCAGCTGGTCTGGCTGTGGGACCCACCATCATTCCTTAATGACAAGCGCGACCCACAGAGATCGTTTTAGAATTTTACTTTCACAACTTGAACGTACTGCTCTGCAATGTCTTTCCTTGTCTCAGGCCCCTGTGTCACGGTGTGTGGTACATCTCACTAGGGTCAGGAAACTTGTCAGAATGCCCATATTTGATTGGCTGAGCTGCATCACGTGATGTGATTCACTACCCGACAGCCTCTGCTGTTAAGTTTCGTTTCACGATAGTCACGTGCTTGCCCACTGACCAATCACAGCACACTCTGCACCTCGCGGCAGAGCTGCACATGGACACTGAGCTGCATTAATGCTGACGTAGCTACAGGCCGGCTAGCAGGTGCTGACATGTCAAAGAATACGCCCAACATGTCAAACTGAAGATCTGATTGGTTGAAGACTATGACAATCAACAATATTGTCCCCATTTACTTTAATCTGCACTGGCTGCAGGTGAGAGTCTGCAGGCCTCTGCCTCTGTTCTTACCTAGAGACACAGAGGTGAAATCTGATTGGATAAAAGCTCTACTTAAAACAAGCTGCACTGGAAGCAGAGCAACTGAGGAAGACAGGAGCTGTGCAATGAGAACATAAGATAATGGGGAAAATATTTTTATAAATTATAATACATGTAGTGTATTTAAGAACAATGATTAAATTATAAAATAGATATAACTTTGTGATTCTGTTTAGGCCAGCAGAGAAGGCCTTGCAGGCCCTGACGGCCCACCACTGCTAAAACGTGACGACGTGACTAACTGACATGATGTGACGAGGTGATGCGACAACGTAACGTAGCAACGTAACACAGCAACGTAACTACCGTATATAAATAAAAACCGCCCTTGGAGGACTTTCTTAAGCTACATTACTTAACAACTTAAAGTCAACGTTGACTTTTGGTTTCACACGGGACACGAAAAGCGGTCTCCTGGGTTAAAGTCCTGAGTTTTTTTGAGCCGTTCTTTGAGGTCTTTCTCGCTCGTCATACTTTCGTTATTTTACCATGTAAGTTTTAATAACCATCACTTTGACCAAATGCAAAACAGTTCACACTAAAAATCAATATTCTGCATGTTGTTGATCCTCGTCCTGCCCTCCCCAGAGTGTTTGTGAGGCTGCTGCTACAGACCTGGATGAGCTCACTGACACTGTGACATCGTACATCAGTCTTTGTGAGGACATGTGTGTGCCGACTAAAACCTTCTGCACAGTCAACAACAATAAACCTGGTTTACTGAAAAACTCAGGCAGCTTCGTCGGGCTACAGAAGTGGGGACAGGATCCTGTACAACCAGGCCAGAAACACACTGACAAAGGAGACAAGGGTAGCAAAGAGGAGCTACACTGAAAAGCTGGAAAGAAAGTTTTCAGTCAACGACCCCTCGTCAGTGTGGAGAGGCCTGCAGGTCCTCACGAACTACAGGAGACCATCCCCCCCACTGAGGAGAATCACCAACTGGCTGACGACCTGAATGTGTTCTACTGCAAGTTTGATAAGCCTAGTCTCACACCCCCCCCCTGCACCATCAAACAACCACCTACACCCCCTGCCTCCTTCTCATCTCTCCCAACCGACCCCACACCGGCACTGAGGATCTGTGAAGAGGATGTGAGTCGGCTCTTCCACAGACAGAAGATCAGGAAGGCACCAGGCCCAGACAGTGTGTCACCCTCCTGCCTGAAAGTCTCTGCTGACCAGCTGGCCCCCATCTTCACACAGATCTTCAACCGATCACTGGAGCTGTGTGAATGTCCCCTCCTGCTTCAAACGCTCCACGATCATCCCGGTCCCCAAGAAATCCTCCATCACAGGATTAAATGACTACAGGCCCGTCGCCCTGATGTCTGTGGTCATGAAATCCTTTGAGAGACTGGTGTTGACCCACCTGAAGGACATCACAGGGCCCCTGCTGGACCCCCTGCAGTTTGCCTACCGTGCAAACAGGTCGGTGGATGATGCAGTCAGTATGGGACTGCACTACATGCTGCAACACCTCGACTGCCCAGGGTCATATGCAAGGGATCTGTTTGTGGACTTCAGCTCCGCGTTCAACACCATCATCCCGGAGATACTCCAACCCAAACTCTCCCAGCTCACTGTGCAGCCTCCACCTGTCAGTGGATCACTAACGTCCTGGCTGACAGGACGCAGCAGGTGAGGCTGGGAAAAACCACATCCAGCACCCGGACTATCAACACTGACCCCCAGGGATGTGGTCTAGCAACCGAACTATCAGCACTGGCGCCCCCCAGGGATGTGTGCTCTCCCCACTGCTCTTCTCCCTCTACACCAACGTCTGCACCTCAGAGGACCCGTCTGTTAAACTCCTGAAGTTCACAGATGACACAACGGTCATCGGCCTCATCAGGGACGGTGATGAGTCTGCGTACAGACGGGAGGTTGAGCAGCTGGTCCTCTGGTCTGATCAGAACAACCTGGAGCTGAACAAGCTCAACACTGTGGAGATGACAGTGGACTTCAGGAGGAGCCCCCCCCCCCCTCACCATACTCAACAACACTGAGTCCGCTGTGGAGACCTTCAAGTTTCAGGGATCCACAATCTCCCAGGACCTGAAGTGGGCCCCCAACATCAACACCATCAGGAAAAAGGCACAGCAGAGGTTGTACTTCCTGCTCCAGCTCAAGAAGTTCAACCTACCTCAGGAGCTGCTGATCCTGTTCTACTCCACCATCATCCAGTCTGTTCTCTGCTCCTCTATCACTGTGTGGTTTGGATCGGCCACCAAACAGGACAGGAACAGACTACAACGGACTGTCAGGTCTGCAGAGAGGATCATTGGTTCCAGCCTGTCCTCCATCCTGGACTTGTTCACCTCCAGAGTCAGGAAACAGGCTGAAAGATCTCTGCAGACCCTTCACACCCTGGACACAAGCTGTTCAACTCCTCCCCTCTGGAGGGCGCTACAGGGCTCTGTACGCCAAAACCACCAGACACAGGAACAGCTTCTTTCTGCCGTCACTCTGATGAACAATGAATCAGACAAACTGCACTACTACCTCTGTCTACACTATCACCTCAATTCCACTGTCGTTTAGATTTATGTTCATATATATATATATATATATATATATATATATACACTTTTATATTTATTTGTACATAGTCATTAAACGTTAAATGTTTAATCTGTTCTACTTTTTTTGTTTGTTTTATATTTTTCTTGTTTATTGTAAATGTGTGTTTGTACGTTGAAACCAAAGTGAAAACCGGAATCATATTCCTTGTATGCGTCGGCACACATGGCCAATAAAGCTGATTCTGATTCTGATGAAGCGTGTTTATGTGAAGTTTGAAAGGTTCCAGTCGTATTATGTGAAGAATAAATCAACATAAAACTACCTTCTTCTTTCAAAGATCTTCTTACATTTAAAAGAGATATTCTTTTCTAGAATCCTCAACACATTCCTAAACTCAACTGAACTGAACTTTATTTAATAGAATCTTGATTTCACAAGCCTAGATTTCCTACACAGCCTCGACACCCTGAAGCTATCTGACAAACGTCTGCAGGACCATCATGAACCTCAAAGTCCAACATTTGTACTTTAATAGAGTTCACCATACAAAATCCTTTCATTGCGTTTATGATCTAAACGCTGCTCCATTTCATAAAACATTACGATACTAAAACCACGTCCTCTTCTTACAAAGACCAGATTCTGCGTCTTCTTCAGAGAATCTACAGAGCGTCTTTACATCGACAGTAAAGCTGCTGTTTGATGAGGAATGACGGCCTTCTGAAGGTCACAGAACACACTAGCTGCTCACAGTGACATTAAATCACTTAGAGGCGTAAACAGCTTTCATGAACACAAGACAGATGTGTGTCAAGCACATCTGTTTATATTCTGTACATCTTTTACTACAGAGCTCGTTGTATTTAGGTGTTATTAGGAAAGAGCGACGCCCCCCTAAAGACATGTTCACTTCTCACCCACCATCTGTGTGACTGGTCTAATGAAGAAGCCCACAGAGGTGTTGAGGTCTGCGGGTCCAGCGGGCCTACCTACCTCCCAGTCCAGGGCGCAGTCTGTTGTCGTACCCGTCCAACAGGCCGTCCAGGATGCGCGTGAAGATGGTGATGTTGTCATTTAGTTCGGCCTCTTTGGGAGTTCCAGTTGCATCCTGGGAGAGGCTGGACACGAGACAACAACCTCAAAACTCACTTTGAAAAAAGGGAACTTAAAAAAAAATAAATTAAAAAAAATACATTTCAATCGTTAAAGCAAATAGAAGACGAAGCTCTTTTTTTTACATTTTCACTCAGAGGTGTATCATTTAAAATGTGCTGCCGAAGTTTTAGGAGTCAGTTCTTACCTCAGACGGCAGGTGATGCTCACAAGCAGGACAAAGACCCACAGACGTCTCATTGCAGAGCTGAAGCACATTCCATCGCCCATTCCTGAAACAACACAGACTACAGTAACCGGACAGTAATGTGGACTTATCAGTGCAGCATCTATTTATTCTGTATAGTTCAAAATCACAAGTTTTCCTCAGAGGGCTTTACAATCTGTACAGTTACAGGTAGCCTACAGTAGACTAAATGATGAACATCTCTCACTAATCGTCTCTTCTTGGTGATAACTGCTCCTAACAGTCGGTCCTCCACAGCGATTAATAAAAATAAAAAAATCTTCTCACTACATCACAGATGCACAGCTGACGGTATCACAGCACCCACAATGTGTGTGCATGGAAGCAATCTGCCCTCTTCCTAAAGATCTGAAATAAAAAAGCTGCTAATTCAAAGTTGCAGGAGCCTGTGATCAATGTCCCTCATGGACCCTCTGTGAGGTGATGGCAGCCTTCTACACACTGGAGGACATCATATCTATCATATCTATATCTAGCATATCTATCACAGCTACACGAGCTCAGCTGTAACTCCGCTGTTCCTCTGTGTGGCTGCGCTGCATCGTCCATCCGTCTCTCAAATCCCTTCAGTATTAAGAAAGTGTGATACGTAGGATCCCGGTGCATGTCTCCTCCTCCTCCTCCAGCACCCGGTCACTACTCCGCTCCGTGTATCACACTTACCACACCAGACGATGCGCATCAAACTTCTCCCGGCCCCGCAGATCGCTCACACGCAGGTCGCGCTGTTTAGTGTTTGGCATCAATCCTGCAGAGCGTCTGCTCACAGAGAGAGAGAGGAAGAGGAAGATGATGAAGATGTGGAGTAATTCCACAGTCAGCGAGGTTTATTTCGCCCAAGAGCAATTAGAAAATGTTTGGCAGTGGGAATGTACAGGCTTCTTCCAACACTTGTGCTGACTGACCATCCTTTAGTTCGGTCTCCCCCTCCTCCCTCCCTCCCTTCCTCCTCCCTCCCTCCGAGGAGGAGCCGAGGGCACACCGCGAGCTCTGCAAGGAAATCCAATACAAAGGAGGTACAATGCAAATAGACTGGTGCTGATGGAAGAGAGGAGCGTGCAGTGAGAGGATGTACAGTATGGAGAGGGGAGAGACAGAGAGAATAAGGAGAGAGATCATCGCCACAACAACGTTAACCTCTTAAAATAATTACTATACTTCATTAAATAAAACACCTCCGCACATCTTTATTTCATCATGTTTATAAAAGGTATTATGTCAACTACCAACATGTCGGGTGGTTAAAATGAGGATTCAAGAATCATTTATTGTCATTATGCAACACAACTAAATTCAGTCGCTCATGTGTGACAAAGAAAAACTAAAAGGAAACATTCCATTGGTGCTTTTTTAAATGTTCCTCATAAGGAATGTAAGCAGCAGCAACAGAATCTATCTTCTCATTAAACAGGAGAACAACTGTGTGCAGTTCTGTTCCGCTCTATTGGTTTGCTGTGTTGAGCTCCTGAACTCTAATAATAAAAACCTTCAAATAAGCTCAACATGATGTAATAGTTCAGGCTCTTTTCATTCATTGGAGGAACCACGTAGAGGTGAGACGACGTGCAGGGCTGCCTCTACAGAACTCAGGTGACGTAGTAAAGAGGAGTAGAGGAGGTCAAACAAACACAGGACTTTCACCCAGGAGACCGCTGTTTGTGTCCAATGTTGACTTGTTTCACCTTAAGGGGGCGGAGTTAAGTACATTATGTAACAAATTACTTTAAATCCGACCTATAAACTCAGCTCAGTGTTATATATAGATAACAGTGTTGATAACTCTTCTCCAATCAAAGTATTTAGCTTCATCAGCTCTAAAAGTCTCCAAGTCTTCATCTCTGATGGTCCTTCAGTCCTCTAAAGACACACCCCCTAAATTATCATGAAGAACGTAAACAAACAACATGGCTGCTGTTAAGAGAGAAGCTGGAGGAAGATGAGCAATGAGTGGCAGGTAGGTAGGTAGACAGACAGACACATCATGTCATGGTGCTGATCTCAAACTGTCACGGGGTGTGGTGGAGGACTCAAATGCAGACATGACCAGAATTAGAGTGAACCACGTCTTTAATGAACCAGGAAAACAACAGGAACCTTACATGGAAATCAGCAGGGAAACCAAGGACGAGATGAGGGTGGAAACCCGGTAGGACGAGGGTGGAACTTCTCTGAGGCCGCAGACTCTAGAGGCTGGGGAGACTGACAACGGGACTCTAGAGGCTGGGGATCAGGAGGGGGACAGGACTCAGGCTCCCGGAGACGGGGATCCGGGGGACAGAACTCAGGCTCAGAGTCCGGTGGCCGACCCCGGGGTAGCTGCGGCTCAGAGGCGACCGCTGGAGTCGGCCGGACCGCCGAGAGGACACGGGGAGCTGAAGTCATCTGTGGCCCCGTGGAGACGGGAAATCGCTGCGGCCCAGCGGAAACATGACCCTTCTTCTGCCCCCTTCGAGAGTTGGAAAGGCATTCCATCCACGTTGGCCTTCTGGATACTCCGAGGCCCTCCAAAGGCCAGACGGGTTCCTGCAAACTGGTCATACCATTCTGGGGAAAAGCGGTGGTCTGCTGAGTCCATTTGTGGCCAGATCATTCTGTCACGGGTGTGGTGGAGGACTCAAATGCAGACATAACCAGAATTAGAGTGAACCAGGTCTTTAATGAACCAGGAAAACAACAGGAATCTTACATGGAAAACAGCAGGGAAACCAAGGACGAGATGAGGGTGGAAATCCGGCAGGGCAGGCAGACTGGGAAACCGGGAACAGGACGAGCCAAACGGGTGGGTAGACACGCCAGTGATCTGGCAAAGAGTGACTGAGAGGCAGGGGTTTATATAGTGGCTGGATCAGAGGCAGGTGAGGGGAGTTGTGCTGATGATGAGGGAGGCTAACAGGTGCACTGAATGAGCTGATAGGTGAGTGAGAGATAAAGTGACAGGAGAGAAGAGGAAGAGCTGTGACACAAACCATTTTTTTCTAAACTAAATAGTTAGTTTTGTAAACACAGCCGGTGAACTGATCTCTAGTTTATCTCTATCAGTATCATATCAATGATATCATCGGTATCATATCAATGATCTCATCGGTATCATAGCAATGATCTCATCGGTATCATATCAATGATCTCATCGGTATCATAGCAATGATCTCATCGGTATCATAGCAATGATATCATCGGTATCACAGCAATGATCTCATCGGTATCATAGCAATGATATAATCGGTATCATATCAATGATCTCATCGGTATCATAGCAATGATCTCATCGGTATCATAGCAATGATCTCATCGGTATCATAGCAATGATATCATCGGTATCATAGCAATGATATCATCGGTATCATATCAATGATCTCATCGGTATCATAGCAATGATGTCATCGGTGTCATATCAATGATCTCATCAGTATCATTCAGTGAGGTATTCAGTGATATCCTGATTCTAGAATGTCGGTACTGTAGATTTACTTTGTGTTAAACTACGTGATACATACTTCATGTGCAGTCTACATTAAGTCTGACTTATGTACACAAACCTCAAAATGTCCTGATTCTTTTTTCTTTGGTTGATGGTCCAGATTTCAGGAGGAGACAAACTGTCTCACAGCGTCTGAACAAATAGACCCACAGTGTATCATCATTCTTTTCCTCCAGCATCAGGCTCAACTGTGTCCTTTATATAGATGGATTTATCTCACATCTTTCAAAAAGATCAGAACAAAAGAGTTATGGACTCAATGTGAAAAAAGCTGGTTCTTCAGAACTGGATTCTTGTAAACTACAGTCAGTGCATTTAAGCAGAAAGTAACTCCTCTGTGTTTGTGTTTACAGGAACGCTGTTGATGGGAACAAGAAGCTGTTCAGCATCTACGACACCAGGTGAGAATCCCATGTTCATCTCTTCAATATATTTATATATATATAGTTTATATACAGCAAATATATCGTTCACAGGAAATGTTCAGGAACAAGCAACACTAAAGTCTCTCACCACCGATCCAAAGATTCTTTCTCACTTCTGCTGCCGAGAATAAAGGAGGAGAAGAAGAGTTCTCAGGAGTAGACACCACTAGACACTTTATTTATTGACTCTTATTTCTATTCTCCTCTATGTTGCATTGTTGTCAGTATTACTTATTTTACACTTAATTGTTACTTTATTGTTCATATATGTTCATGTTTTTATTCTGTTGCTATTCTTCTGAGGATTTCCTTTGGGATTAATCACGTTATATCTTATTTGATGTTATCACAGAATAAATACTATATGTTGTATACGACATACTTTTAAAGCAGGCATTGTACATGTATCTTTCCAAAACTCCTTTTACGAACATGAACATTAAACTCCAACCTCACCTTCATAATGAACTCTGAGACTTCGCGCAGGACTAATGGCTGCACTTTGTCACGTGGGCTCTCGTGATTACCTGGGCAGCCTCGCGCGCTGACTTGAAGAACTCATGCTGAAAAACGGAACCGGCTCTGTGAGGGATTCTTTGTTTGAACCGACATCTTCTGTGCTTTTACGCACGCGGCTCCCTCCTCTGTGGACACGGGACCTTTTGGGTTTGTGTCTTCGAGGACGGAGAGTTTATTCTGGTGGACGGAGGCTTTTACGCACGCCGGCTAATGAATCCCGTCTGACACCCAAAAGTCTCCCGCCTCGTGAAGCATGTTGACGCAGCCGAACTGCGCCGGAGGGAGTGTGCGCAATGTGGAAGAAGTCTCCCCGGATTTAGCGCAGCTCTGCGGGAGCGGCGGCGCCGCGGCTCCTTCACTTAGTCGTTTGTTGTTCAACGCGGTACGGTGCGTCCGTCCGCGAACGACGCGGGGGGCATGGCGCGGAGACCCCGGAGGAGATCAAGGGTTCTCCGTGACATCCTCTCACTGCCGCTGGTTGTGGCCGTGATGTGCTGCGCCCAGAGGTGAGCCGCGGGTCCCGGTACCGGAGAAGTGTCCGTCCTCCAGATCAACACTCACCAACTCCTGTTGTCTTCTGTCTTTTCAGCGTCAACGAACCGGGCAACATGTCGTCTGTGAAGAACACGGTAGACAAACTGTTGAAGGGTTATGATATCCGTCTGCGGCCGGACTTTGGAGGTAAAACACTCGTGTGTGTGTGTTTCACCCTAAATGCTTCTCTAGACCTGCCCACTGTTTAAATTACATGGAATGTAATGAATGATTATAACTTTATGTGTTCTAAGGTAAACCGGTGGCTGTTGGCATGAGCCTAGACGTGGCGAGTATTGACAGTGTGTCAGAAGTCAATATGGTAAGTTCATATATTCATATTAATCCTCATGTTTCTGAGTCTTCTGTAGTTTTGCTGGTTCTTGCTGCTGTTTACAGGAACTATGTATTAAATCAGTGGTTGTCAAACTCTTTCTGTCACGCCCCACTTTGGAGGAAGACACATGTTCATGCCCCACCGCCCCACCATTGTAACAAAATGCTGCATGTTGAACTTTTATTGAAACAACATTTTGTGACTCCTCCATCTGTGCTTCTTCAAATAATAGAATAAAGAAAATTGCAATCACTTTCAAGTAAACCAGATTGCTCCATCAGACAAAAACAAATACAATGTAATCACGTTGTTAGAACAATGCA